TGTGTGTGTGTGTGTGTGTGTGTGTGTGTGTGGGAGATCAACAGTCCCTTTGAGTCTCTGTGGGCAGATCCACAGTGACAGCACATCTGGCTGACGGGTCTGAGCCAATCAGGACGCGGGGGTCTTCCGGGGGTGGGTCGGGTGGGGTCCTGCGCCTCCTTCAGCAGTGTCCACAGCCACCGCCCGTGCCCCCCCCCCCCCCCCCGGCCCCGGGCCGGCCCGGGGGGGGGGGGGGGATCTCAGGAGGACGGAGTCTCTGCTGTGGGCGGGCTTGTTGGGGGGGGCGGCGGGGGCCGCGCTACCTCTGATTGTGCTGCTTGGGGCTGTCCGGCCGACGCTCTCTGGGGCTGGGGGGGCGCGGCCGGGGGGGGCTGGCTCACCTGCAGGGAGATCTGCGGCAGCGCCTGGGCCACAGCGGCCGGTTTGGCCAGGATGAGCTGCGGGGCCGAGCGGCCGGCCGCCAGCTGGACGGCCGGGGCCGCCGGGGACGTTTTGATGGCGGTCAGCTGGTGGCCGACGGGCTTGGCCTGGATGAGCTGCGCCAGCTGGCCCGAGGAGTTAGTCTGCATGAGCGTGGCCAGCTGGTTGGCCGGGATGGTGATGATGGTGATCTTCTCTCCGGCCTTGGAGCCGGCGGGCAGCATGGTGGGCAGGGCCTGGATCACCAGCTTGGGAGCCGTGCTGGTGGAGGCCCCGCCCATGGTGACCGGCACGCCCGCGGTGGCGGCCGTGAGGATAGAGGACGAGTTGAGGGTCACCTGACCGAGGGAGTTGGTCATGACCACCGGCATGGCTCGGATGGGCCTGCGGAGGAAAAAAAGAAGAGTCGTCAGGGAGGCGTTACCCCCCCCCTCACGTGTGTGGGGCCGTCAGACGGCTCCGCTTACAACACACAGAGGCCAAAGAGAAGCAACCTTGTGAACAGAACAGTTTCTTTTTCGGGACACTGCTGAATTTCGTTGCCCAGCAACTGTTTTAAAGGGACATTGTGTAGTATTTTAGGTATTTTATCAGCTAAAATCATTATAAATGTGTCCTCATTTGGTGTAAAATGACTTCTGCAATGATCTGACTTCTCCTCATTAGCACAGAAGTTCCTATCTGTATCTACACAGGACGGGTAAGTCCATGGAGGTTTCCATGGCGTTCCGCCATTTTGAAAAACTAGAATGACAGAGAGGGACATAAAGCACTAGTCCACCTGTCTAGCTAATCTACAACGTGTTTTCCTTCAGAGCCAGTCACCTGACTCAAACCAGATCTTTTAAATGATTTTTTTTTTTTAAATGAATTCAATGAGTTAATTTAATTTTTTTTTTTTTTTTACAAACATCACCCAGACAAAACTGGATGATGTGGAAGTCATGTTGTCATTACTTCCTGATTCATGACGGCTATCGTAGCTGTAATACCCATTTGAGAACAGAGGTGCTAGACAGCACGATTTGTTAGAATGCAAAATACAATTTCCCCATCAGATGGGAGACACTCCTAGACTGTGGACTTTTCAGAGAACTGAAAAATTCCGGTACAATCACTCCCACTTCTGCTGAACTGCCCTCTGATTTGTTAATGATTTGTTCTCAAATTGTTTGGATGACGAGATAAAAAATTTGATCAGAATATCATTTCATTCGGTTTAAGTTTGGCCGGTCTTGACCACCACTGTGACGGCAGATCGGAGGTGGCGACCGTAGCGTAAAGGGCCTGAAGACCAGGCTGGCCCCACCTGGCTCCGGCGTTACTGGGAATGACGGTGACGTAGGTCTGCTGAGCCTGGGTGCTGGCCGGGGAGTGGGCGGGGCCCTGCTGGTGCACCAGGTGCTGGCTGGACACCATGGCCTCGCTGTCCTCCAGCTCCGCGCCCTCCTCCTCGTCGTCGATCACGCGGATGTTTTTGGGCATGTCCTTGAACTGGTAGGCCAGCCGCTGGCCCTCCACTTTGGCCAGGATGCCACGCTGGTAGTAGTACCTGCGGAGAAAAGGCGGAAATGGGTTTGTATTCTACACTTTTGTGTCCAATGGTTTTATCCCGAGGAGACGGGCTGTTTGTGGAAGAGAGCAGCTGACCTCAGGGCCCTGCCCATCGTCTCGTAGTTCATGTCGGGCTTGTTCTTGTGTTTCCCCCACAGTCTGGACACGGCTTTGGAGTCCACCAGTTTGAAGATGCCCTTCTCCCTCTGCATCCACTTGATGTATCTTGGGCAAGTGTTTTTGTCTTGCAGCAGCTCCAGCAGGAACTCCCACAGATAGGTGGTGTTTCCTAAAGGACAAATGGCAAAGCCATCAAAATCACCTGGGAAGTGGAGGTCAGCTGGTGGGGTGGCCACCGTCTAACCGGAAGCTCGGTTGTCCACATATCGTTTTTACAGGCTATTCGCGTATGTAGACTAAACAGGCAAATGAGTTCTGGGGCGGTGGGGCTGTCAGCTTGGGGGGGAGTTTAGTCAAAGTTCAGCAGACCGACTGCAGCAGGGAGCAAACTGTAAGGGGTTCTGTAAGGTTTCTGCCTCTTAACGGGAAGTTTTTCCTTGCCTGTGTCGCCTAGTGCTTGCTTTTGGTGGGAATTGTTGGGCTGTAAATAACTTCAGAGTAGGGTCTGACCTGCTCTGTTTGGAAGGCGTTTGGAGATAACTGCTGTTGTGATTTGGTGCTATATGAATAAAATTTAATTGATGTCCTGGTCCTTATGGACAGGGGCCTCCAGCCAAATGGGAGCTCAATGTCCGCTAAAAACACTGATCCCAGACAGAAAGGGAACAGGGAAGAAGTCGGTTCCAGCCACTGGAGCCCTGGAGGTGTCACTGAGAGGGGGGACATCTGCATTCAGCAGAGTACAGAGACAGAGTGGAAACGTCTGGTACAAACCTTTCCCCTCCCTGGGCCTCTTCTTGATCCCCAAGTCAAAAGACCCGTTTGAAGAGGGCTGATGCGTCTTTGGCTTTCGTCCACCTGCAGCAAACACAAAGTTACAATCACTTTTCTTTAGCAGACCCCGAAAAGCTTGTGGAGTGTTTGAGATGAGGGGGGCGGTGTGGAAGGTAGGCTTGTCCCGATCCGATATCTGGAGCAGATCGGCCGCCGATATTTGCAAAAAACAACAACTTTGTATCGGCCGCCATGAGAAAATGCAGATCCAGACTAACAATCCACTATTTTTAAAAGTCTGATCCCACATTAGCATTAGCATCTCCTAACCCACAGCTCTGTGTCCTAACCATTAAGTTGTTATCAGAGTGAATCCCTGTTCAATATGAGTCTGACAACTAAGTAAGTAGATAAATAACTCTAAACTTTAAGAGCACTGACCTCCTCTCTTCTTCTTGGCAGCAGGCTCACAATCCGGAGGGATCGGGAATGACTCCTCCTCTATGGGTCCGCATTCTGTGGACACTTCTACCACCGTCTCCATCATCACATCCTCTGCTTGAGACAAACACAACACAACACTGTACTCTGGGTGGCAGGGCCACAGGAGACCTTTGGCTGATTTTGTGTTGATAAAAAAACAACAAACAAGCGGGTCTGAGGTTTAGTGCTGTGCTAAATTATGTACAATGTGGAAAAATGTGAACTTTTTCGTATCAGTCTGTCTTTTTTTCTGTCAAATGTACATGCCTAACAGTTTGATCTGATAAAAACGAGTGAGTGGAACTTTAATTGCGGGCAGACTTCTCCGTGGAGCGAGAGGAGGGGCAGATGTTTACCTGTGCCGCGCTCGCCGTGCAGCCCTCCGGGAGACTCCATGTGGAGGAGAGCTTCGGCCGCCTCGAATGTTTTGTCAAAACACACCATGTCGTGGCCCGACATCTCCACTGAGAAGGAGAGCAGACAGACGCCTTTCAGCGCACACACACCTCAGGGACAGCACACACTCCCTGAGAAACACCTGGATCAAACTCGTGCTTTAGGTAACAAAACAGAGATGTCTGCGCTAGAAAAAGGGAGTGGGCGAAAAACAACTCTTGTGTAAGGTGGACTTCCTTGTGTGAGGTCTGAGACGCTCAGTGTTTCCCTCCTTTCCTGTTTCCTGCGGGGACTCGTTCCTGCCAGCAGAGGGCAGTCTCCATGAGGAGCAGCGGTCTGTTTGGATAAAAGCTTTTCCCCTGTCGACGCTTTCCAGAGACTCCTGTGCTGTCGAACGTCATTACAAGAAGGACGGACTCTTTAATGGAGGCACGACTCAGAAATCCCACCCAAAGACAGCTACTCCCGTTTGACAACAGCAGCCACCTGTGATGAGGCTACTACCGGCGTGGCCTGTTTCAGGGGATGGCAGCCAGACCTCTACATCAGGCCTACTCCTGCTCATCCACACAGCCTCAGCTGGATTCAAACTCTAAAAAGTCACAGCTAATGCTTCCTGAGCAGCACGATGAGTTAAACTACTAATTAAACTACCGAAAAAGCTAAATGTGTAAAACCATGATGTGTTTGGGGAAATCCAGGCAGGCACTCACCAGACTCGGCCACCTCTGTGACCACCTCCTGCTCCTCGGCCACGTCCTGCATCAGGTAGGTCCCGTCGTCGTACACCAGGACCTGGGCCGAGTAGCACTCCTCCACCTGGGCACTGGGCACCTCCTCCACGATGACGGCCGGACAGCCCTCATCCTGCACCACCACACCTTCCTCCTCCTCCTCCACCTCCTCCTCTATGATCACAGCCTCCACCTCTTGGTGAACCACCTCTTCATGCTCCTCCTCCTCAGTAGTCTGCTGCTCGTAGTGGACAGGGATGAAGCAGACGAAAGCGGAGGTGAGAAAGGAGGGAATTAATACCTACTGAACACCACCTTTTTTTTAGGTTTATCCCCAAAAAAGTGGAGAACAACACAGTTAAATTCAGTGGGCCAGAACTGGATTCTGGTCGGTTTTCAGATCCCGCCTAATGTTTCTCAGCTAATCTGGGATCAGCATTTCCTTCCTCTTTTTCCTGCTTTGGATTGAACTTTTTCCCCTGCTCTCGACCAAGTGCCTGCAGGTCAGTGACACCAAAGGGGGCAGCTGCTGTGTGACAGCCGAACTTCAGAGCTGGTCTACATTTGGATTGCTTTTGAGTTTTTCTGTAACTACTGACAGCAGGTGATCAAGCTCACAGAGGCTTTGCACAACATAGCCGGGATGGGAGGGGGATTTTAAAACATTATCAAAGCTACCTCAACTGGTGCTTTGATGAAACCCCCTTGGCATGAATGACTGACATCACAATACAAATAAATGCTTGTAAATTGCTTGTCTCGTTCCTGCCAGCTGTTTTACCTAACAGCTGGAAAACCAACCTTTGTCCTGGTGCCTTAAAATGGTCATTGAGCCATCTGGGATATCGCTTTCTGATCAGTGACTCTGTGTATCTATTCATACACGAACGTGGCGTTTCAAACAGCTCTTTCACTAAAAAATGGTACTAAAAATCCTGCTCTGTCCAGCACTGCTGCAGACAGAAACTCGTCTTTTCTTAAATCTGAACCACCACTAACTTAGCAGTGAACAGATTAGTTTGCTGTGACGGTGTTCTGAGCAGGTGGGATGTAGCAACACTTTTAGATGGATTTCCCCACGGGCCGGCCTCAGCTGCTGAGGTCCCATTAACGGAAACACACAGAGAGCTGTCAGTTTACTTTCTTTAGGACTTCTCACCGTATGTGCTGCTGCATACTGCCTGGATGCACTACCATTGTCCATCACTGACACAGAGTAACGCAGCAGCGTCGTCCCTTTAACGGCTGCTGATGAACCCCTGAAGGCAACACGGCTCGTGGCTGTAAAGCGCGGCCCCGATGAGCCGGCAGATATTCGTGCTAAATGATGTTAGCGGTGGTCAGTTCAGATGCTGAGGAGAAGAGCTTTCTCGTTATCTTTGATAGGGGAAGGCACCCCGTTAGAGCACAGGAAGAGTGCGAAAAATTAGAGTCTCCATCTGTCTCGGCTTCACGGCAAGGAGTAAATAATACAAAGAAAAAAACACCAACTGCTCAATGGCATAGGGTTAGTAGTGAGCTAAGATTTGGGAGTTCTCATGAGCTTACCAAAAACACAACCAAACTGACTTTCCCACTTTGGTGTATAATGTCTGTCACACATTTTTGCTTGATTTTCTAAAAAAATAATATGTGGGCTATTTTTTCCGCTTTCTTTCCAGAGAAGACCACTGTGTAAATAATATAGCTCCTCTGGGACAGCGTAAACAGCAGGTCCAGTTCTGCCTTGTGTCAGCTGTCTCTAACAGAGTGTGGACCGTCCACTCCTCTGTCACTAATGGAGAACATTGAACAACCTCAAAATCTTCTGGGACTAATGAGAGAACAACTTGTTGCTTGATAAACATTTGACTAAGTCCCCCCGAACAGGATCAGAATAAAAACAACCAAAATGAAGTAAAGAGTCAAATGGAATGATGTCCCTGTGTGGGACTTCATTTGGGCTATGCTGTTTGTAGTTGAATGTCCAGATAGCATTTGGTGAGCTTCACATCTTACCTGCTGGGCCTCCTCCACCACAGTGACATACTCCACTATGTTCCCTCCTCCATCTGACACTACCACAGAAGTCATCACTCATTCCTGCCAAAACAAGAGCACACAACGGGTCAAAGCAGGTCACACATACCTCGGCCGGGAGATCCGTTCATTTGTTTATCTCCGTATCTGTGCAGTTTAGTTTGTGATTGCTGTTTGCGAGGGGATGGAGTCACGAGACAGCCTGTAGGCACCTGTTCTCCTCATGAATGACTCCCACTGATGCTGAGGTTGTTGTTGTGAGGGAAAACCTCACAAGACATCACACTATATCTAAACATGTCCAACTAGATCCCAACTAATAGTACAACAACAAGAAAAAAAACTTATTTAAATCACAAGGTCACTTTTAACCACAAAGTCCAGCTCAAAAACATATTTGTCTGCTAAAAAAAAAAGCAACACACCTAAAGATGCTAAACTTTTGAGAGTTTGGTGTAATCCTGAAACCGGTTTCAGAGTTCTACATGATCATGAGTGACAGTTAATGACAAAGTTAAGCCCCAGTATTCAGTTATAAGTTATATGTTGAAGGGAAGAGGTCGTTCATACTGTCATTCAACCGGATGTGTTTTAGCATTGCTCTAAGTAGTGGGAACATATCCTGCTGTGTTAAACTGTCTGCCAACTAAAATAGGGATGAGACAGTTGTGTTCAACAACTCAAACAACGCCGACGAACTTGAAAACACGGCGGAAGGCAGTTTTTAGCCTCTCGGGGCTCCGTGCCGTTCGTGAGCAGGATGTAAAATCTTTGCGCTTTCGGCAGCTTCCAACTCTGCCGCTAAGTGCTAAGCTCCGTCTTAGCTTTCATAAACACACCCCAAACATAATTGCTGTTACTTTAAATGTTGTGTACCTCGGAATTACCTCGTCCCAAGAAAATATGGCTTTGTTTTCATGTCTTCGTGAGGTCGCTGTTAACCTCAGAACTTAGCAGCGGCTGGTAATGAGCTTTTTAAGAAGCTCGAAACAGTTAGCAAATAGTTCGCTAATGTACACAATGTCTCTGCTGTCATCAAAATCCAAATGTGCGTCTCATAAAAGCAAATACAGCAAAAATGGGAGCTGCGAGCTGTTAAAATCAACCGTAATCACGTAGCGAGTTCCCTCCTCTTACCTTGTTTTGCTTTTGCTTGCGAAAAGTGAGCTTCACCGCTAGCGTTAGCTAGGCCCAACGTTAGCCGAGTTGACAAGGCCAAGACGCTTCCAGGGCTCACAGAAGCAGGTGTCCGTAAGGCCCTCCGTAACAAAGACCTCACCTCGCTGACAAGTGTCGACGTCCCGCTTTGAAATTTAGCGCAAACGGACACGCAGGAACCGGGGTAGGTTTTCCGCTGCCGCTCGTTTGTTGCTATCGGTTAGCTTTCCGGTGTGCCGCCTCTCGGCTACAAACGATCCAGCGGGTCAAACCACAGCTCGCCGTGACGTCACCGGGACGGACCCCCTCCAACCAGATCGACGCGCCGGGGCTTTCTGTCGTCATGCACGCGGGCAAGTGCGCGCGGGCAAGTCGCGTTGCCGGGGAGAGTGGACGTTCCGTTCTCTTGAAAAAGTTTTTCTAACAACAACCACGAATTAAAGGCGTTTCCCCCCTGACTATTTCGTGTGTTTCGCTCTTCGTAACAGCAGAGCAAACCTCCCCTAAAAGCCGTATTAAAACTGAGGTCGGAGAGCACATAGAAAAGCGGGAAATGCCTTCAACAAGCCACGAGTAGAGCTAGTGGTAGACTAGTTGACTATTTATTGAACAATATTTTAAAATTTGACATTGTATTTGCTGCCCATGTGATTACAGTACTGGGTCAGTCTGAAAGGAGAAAGTAACTTTCCTTACAAAAGCTATTGTAAGGAACTCCTTACAATAACTATCACTCTATTCCCCCTTAACAGAGTATTAAGTTTCACAGAAATTATTTAAATTAAGGACCATTTCAGTTTAATCCCACAACAGAGAGTCATTGAGAGATTGATGTACAATGAAGTGCGTAAGACTGAGCACCAATGAAGAATAAATCTATGTTATTCTCACAGGTGCAGAGGATGCTAAACTCAGCTTTTAACTATCTAAAGGTGGTCACAACAACAGCAATAATGATCTGTCTGTGTTCCCTATAGTGCCTTGACAAATGTTCAATCATTAAACTGCTGTTGCTATGGTTATTTTTCATGAAAAAAATAGGTTGGCGCATGTGCCTGAGCAATAGGGTTGGTCCAAGTAAAGCTGTTTTTTTTAGCAATGTGTTGAAGACCACCACAATAATTAGATGTTGTTTCCTTTCCAGATAAGTTGTGAAGATCAAGTCTATCCAGAGAAACTGTTTCTCTGACTTGCCTCTTCTATCTGTAATCACAGGACTTCTAAATAACTAGTTCAGTCTGGAGGCTTACGTGCAGGAGCTTATCCTTTCATTATATTACCTCCCGTTACTCCTCCCCTTTCCAGTGTATGTGTGTAATATATGCAAAACATTAGTGGAATAGTGGATAAGATAAGATGTGGGACTAACTATGAAACTCAACATCTAAACTAAGAAACTCATTTCGACCAAGTGTTTTAATGTTTATAAATCGAGTCTCTTACCACCACTCAAGCTTGATAAGGTACAACAAAGATGCAATTTGCTTTTGGGATCCCAAAAGCAAAGTACAACCTTGATGAGGCCACCTGGTGGTCAGCTACAACCAAGTACCTGCGAAGAGTAATGCCCTTCCAGTCATCAGATACCTATCCTCAGAGAAGATAGAAGTCACTGTCTTTGCCCCAAGCCAGAAGTTTCTTACAGGAGGAACATTTAGAGATGGTATGGCTCGATAGCTTGCGCCACTAACAGATTGAGGAAGTGGGTGAAATTGAGAAATAATCTAAAATATATTACAGAGGCACTAACTGTGGTAGGAACAGGCTCTGAGTAATAGAAGCTCAAGAGTACCTCATTTGACAGGACCATATCTGCAGACATGGCAGACAGAGGCTCCTCAGAGAATAATGCACATAATACTGGCATTTATTGACCAAATCAAATGGAAAAAATAGCGAACATCTGGATTCAATATTTAAGACTTTTATTTGTCATAAACACGATTATACATGGTATAACAGTGATACGCCCGGCCAAAACCCTCAGTGATGCAAGTGTAAAAGTTCCTGAGCACCCTGAGAGGGAGCTGGAAGTCCCTCAGGCGTCTGAGGTGGCAAAGAGGGTGTTAACATCACACAAGACCGCGTTCGGTCCTATGTGATGTTAACACCCAGGTGCTTGAAGCTCTCCACCTCAACCCCACTGATTCTGAGTTGGTGATACACCGTCCGCTGCTTCTTGCGGTAGTCCACAATCGGCTTCTTGGTCTTGCTGACTTTCAAGAAGAACTCGTCTCTACTGTACACCAGTCCTCCAGGTGGGTGATCTCTATCAAATGGTCCTCCATGTTGTTAATGACAGTATTGTAGTCAAAATAAATGAAATGAAATGTAGTCGATGTGGACAGATGGTCACTGGTGTAGAGCAAGTACACCACAGAGATTAGCGCACATTCCAAGGGGGCACCGATGTGTTCAGGGTGGATGTGGAGGACAGGGGATTTCCCACAGTATGCAAACTGTTGGGGGTCCAAGGAAGCAGGTAGGGAGGAGGTCATAAACTTCTTTTCTTTTTTCAGTCTTTCAAAATATCTCATTGCCAAAAGAAAGGGTTGATGGTTAAAAGTTCCTGGTTGGAGGAGCAGGACTTGGAGAGAAAAACTATATCTCTGTTGGTCAGGAGACAGACTCTTTGGTAATTAGAAAACTTGGGGCAGAGACGTCCAAACTGGAAAAGTGGCTACAGCAACTCCCAGGGACAATATCAGGGATCTTTGTCCAGAAGAGAGCAATTCTAGGAACAGCTAGGATACCAAGAACCCTCAAGCTAACAGGACCCTGGTGAAGCACCCAAGCTTGAAAGAGAGGTATTGCTCATTTATTAAGTGTAGAGTAAATATATGAAACAGCAGCAAGATACAGAAACTTATTCAACTTATATTTATTGGCATGTTTTGTGTCAAAGTATTTATTAAGTCAAGGACATACACTCAAGACTTAACACATATACTAGTCTAAAAACACCAAAGAAAATTTCCCATTTTTAAAACAAACTAACACTCTAGTTAGCTTCATCCCTCAGTAATCCCAGGTGTATTTTCATTATAATCCACTGATTTAGAGAAAAGTGTAGGGTTAGGAACATCTGAATCAGGAGAGAATCATATAGGGCTGCCAAAGGATTTCCAGAGGGACCTTCTTTCAGACAGACTTACTTCAGAGCTTACCACACTTACACACTTCATGCCAAAATAGAACATATCAAAACCAACCATTCATACATGCTGCTAGCCTTTTAATCCCACATCAGAAAGCTGGAGCAAAACAAGAAAAACTGCAAGAGAATTATTCACTGTACTGAAACATGATGGTGAGATATTCTTGAAAGTAGAGGTTTAAAACAAAGTACATTGAAAAACACATGCAAATGAAACTTTGTAACAAGGAGAATGCAAGAATGATTTCTCAGCTAATATAAACTCTGAATATGAAGTGTACAAAACAGATTGCCAGTTGATATCAGGGAAAGACACTAATATTTTGTACATTCACAATATTTTTCTTGGCGCATCTGGAGTTGTAAGGAGGAGTGGAGCCACTAAAAGCAGTTTGCATGGAGAAAGACCTGTTCCTCTTGAGCCAAAATATTTCTAGTCAGTTTAATTTCAGGTCACACCTCAATAAAATGTTCACATTGTAAGTCAATGAGAGAAGCTGCATACATTTGATATTTCCTTGTTGACTAACAGTTTACAGAGAATTTAGAAAGGAAGAGTTCATTTGGTGATGGCTTGTGAAAGTGTGCCTGGCTTAGTGTGTGCCATTAGTCAAAAACACTGAGGGCCTCACAGCGGCCCTGTAGAATTAAAAGACTAAAAGCATAAGAAAAGCTGAGGTAACATGGTAGCTACATGGGCCTTTGAGTCAGCAGGCCAAAAGGGTTTCTTCAGTGAAACAAAATGAATGGCTAAAGTACATTGAGTGTTGGAGTGATCGATTCATACACGTGAAGGAGTAGAAGTACCTGAGACAGAGTTCTGCAACAGACTGCTGGTAATATAACAGCCCTCCCTTAGACACAACACAGGGACAGCTGGGCAGTGATGGAGTTTTTTGGGGGGGATGTGGAAGACAGAGTCAAAAATGTAACAGTGAGAATAAAAGGTTGACTGAATGGCTCAGTTTTGTCAATAGTAAACAGACTGCAGGTTCACAGAAGCTGAACAAATGTTCCTTAAATGACTAGAAGGTATACCAGAGATAAGTAATCTTATGTTCCTGACAGGACACACCTTGTGCTGAACAAACTTTGATTTTCAGCAATTATTTGGCCTGTATGGGCCATTGCTAATATTATGAAATAATGGCTCAATAAAGCAGGTACTGATCTGAATACTGTTTCACTGTAACCACCAATGTATCTCACTGTAACAGGGCTGTGAAATCATACAGTGAATTGTTACAGAAAGGCACATCCTCTTCTTCTGGAAGATCGAGTTTTCATTCAGGAGATGCTTACTGGAACAGAGGAAAATCAACGATAAATGCCATTAGTTTTGTACTCCATATCTGTATGAAAACATCAATATTTCTTTTTCATTTATAGTTGTACCCGAAATACAAGAATACAGATATCTTACACATGGCTATCTAATTCACAAATACACAGTGTTTTCAGCCTTTTCTACTGAGGTCCAAATAATTGAAGGCTCAGTACCTTTGCTGAAATTACTGCATTTGCATCCTAAGAAGACGCCGCTTACCCTGAGTAGCAAAGTTTAAAGAGCCACATTAGAGGGGTGTGCTTGCTGTAAACACGACAGCTTATTGGAGAAGTAGCCCATTTCATCTGCCGGCCATATTCTCATCAAACAAATTGAAAGGCAAAAACAAACTCAGCATGTACCTCGGAGGCAGGGGCGTGGTCATCTTCTGGAGCTGGGATGATTCTGCCAGTCATTGGTCCAACTCCCAGCACCTTGGGCCTTTTATCTTCTTTAGGCGTTCCCTCAAGAACAACAACAATGTACTCCCTGCTGGGATCTTTTGCCTGGATCTCCATCGAGGAACTGACTGGTTCGGCTAAAATTGTACTGTCAGGCTCTGCCAATGCTTCCTCCACAACTGGTACAACCTCTACGGCTGCAGGGGCTTCCTCAACAACTGGTACAACCTCTACAGCAGCAGGGGCTTCCTCGACAACTGGTACAACCTCTACAGCTGCAGGGACTTCCTCAACGACTGGTACAACCTCTACAGCTGCAGGGACTTCCTCAACGACTGGTACCTCTACGGCTGCAGGGGCTTCCTCAACTACTGGTACTACCTCTACAGCTGCAGGGACTTCCTCAACAACTGGTACAACCTCTAC